GGCTCTATCAGTTGGAATACTTTGTTCAAATTTTATTTACATGCAATTTATTCCTTCATGCAGGTTTTAATGTTGCAATAGAGCACCCACATACTTATGTGGTGAAGTGTACACAACTAATACGAGGTAAGTGGGCATATTCATTGTCTTATATCTTTTTTTTTACAGGCAATAATCATTCAAGTTTGTTTCTACTTCATAGGATACTAAATCTGTCCAGATATTATCAGGAGTGTCAGTTGATAGAAAAATTGTGTACTTTGTTAGGAGGTATATCCTTCATGTTGAACAGTTACAGAAGTTTTAGACTCCTGCATTACTAAAATCTCCTGGTTTTTTACCAGTAAGTGGTCGCTGACGTTTTTTCCTTGTATCTATAAGCTGAAAATAAAGAACACAACTGGATAATTTTTATCCGTTACGGATTTTAAGTTCTCACATGAAGGATCAACCTTTCTTTCAGAGATTAATGGGGAGTTTCTGTAGAATTCCATGATAGTTACAAAAATTTACAGTAAAGGGTGTGAAGTTGGGCAAATGCATTTTAGGTGTTTGTGATAAATCATGTGTTAGTGGTAGGGCTACTGATTGTAGTATTACTGACATTGTTATCACACTCATGAAATTGTATGAAACTCTCTGAAATGTTTTTTTTTTTATCGAATTCTGAATATTTTGAAAGCAAGGATCCTACAGGAATTGAGGTTATTATTGCGTTACAATCAACATATTTTAAGCTGAAGCTTTGTTGACAGGATTTTACCTGAATTACATTGAAGAAAACTTGCTTGGTCAATAGTATATGTAGCACTGTAGCTCACTACTGAAACGTAAATATTATGCTCAAGCATTAATTAGTATTTCTTTTTCATAAAATCCTGACAGCATGGCTTTCAGTTCTTATTGTTGTGTATGCATTGTTTTTTTTACAGCACTGTACATGTTGCTAATTCTTTTCCTTTTTCTCCCCCTGGGTGATGTATCACCGTGTCTGCTGTGGTCTCTGGCTTGTCACATCTCACCCATTCCTACCGTGCAGCCAGCAAGGACCTGGCACAGACAGCATATTTCATGGCGACCAACAGGTGGTGGAGCCTTGCTTGCTTTTTTTGAACATGGAGAATTTTGAATTCTCTTTTACGAAGGCACTCATGGAAGTACTGTAAAGAGTCTCCAGCTACAAACCTTTGCTAAAAAAAAAGTCCCACTATCCTGTTTTCGTCTGGAGAATGGAAACTTGTTTACTGTAATCCGGAGTTCCTTTGTAATATCCGTGTACATTGCAGTTGTACTATTTCCTATGATAAAATGACAAACAATTAAATTTGTTTCCAATTCTTTGATGAAAAGTTAATATTCTAATTTTAAAAATGAACTGCTCCATATATCCTGTGTTTGCCATTAATTGCATTAGTCGACAAAAAAAGATAAAGTTGTATAAGAAATGGTACAACTTCAGATTTTGTTGATATATGGTTTTTTGTATGAAATTGATAAAATATGGACTGACACATAATGTGGTGATGGGAACTTGTGTCTCCTTAACAGGACTTAACTGTGTCCTTTGAACCCTGATGACACTGTGTATCAAAATGACATTGTGAAACTGATTAGAGTGGACATGAGTTTAATATGCAGTGTGACTAGGCAGTGATTGGAAGTTTTATCATGATGCACTAACTTCAGAATTGTTTTTTTTTTTTTTTTTTTCAACAACAAAATTTTATTTTGTAAATCAGTTTTAGACAAGAAGTAATTTACTGCCCTGTTGACGGTATCAAATTGTGAATAGTTTTTTGAACAACGGTTTAGCATTTTAAATAGGCTTAGGGTTCTGTGAGTGAACTTCAAAGTGACAAACTAATTCACTGAAAATCTTGCCCTATTCAGTAACATTATAGATGGGTTAAACTGTCAGTCTGCATTTAGTGAGAATTTTAGCCAGTTTCTAATACACTAGGATAAAAAATCTAGAATCAATGGGCTTCCACAAAAAGCATGTCATCATCCACAGAATTATAAATTAAACATCAGGAAAACATTGCTTGATTTGAAAATGCTTTTAAAGTATTCCAATTTTCTGACAAATGCACAATTTTTTTTCTTTTCTCCCCATTTGCGAAGTGGTCTAAGCCAGTTTGAAATTGGCAATGAAAAACAATGTAGTATTATTCAATGTGGCTTAAACTATTTTAACCTTAGTAGAAGCCCGGGAATAATGTACGAGGCTCATTTTTCAGGATTCCTATATTTGTTCTTAACTAGTCACTAGAGTAGCCATGTAAAGTTATGGAGAAATCCTTTTTATCAAATAAAAATCCATCATTTTTCTTTCCTATTTTGTCTTTCTGCTTGGGGTGTTCCACAGGCTTAAATCCTTTAGATGCATATAATTTAACTACCCTGATAGTATATCATTTTTAATCATCGTTTCACAGTGTTGTTTTGAGCTATGCAGTGCCTGTCTGTATGAGACTACATTAACACTTGTCCTATAGCAATTTGTGTGGGTATAAAATCTTAACGTCAAAAGTTTCATATTTCGGTCTTGTATACTTCCTATATGCTTGAGGACTAAATCAGTGACTGTGGTTGTTTTACTCCGGTCTTTCGCAAGACAAAGGCACGCATATGCCTTATGAATTATTCGTGGAGAAAATTTATTTGGTGTAGATGATTATACAGTTCAGATGAGTGTTTTCTTGTGATTTAAAAACAAATATTACAGTGGCCGTGAATAAGTAGATTGGTATTTAAATAAGTGATCAAACAACATACGTTTGATTGGACATAACTTCAATTACTGACTTGCATCACTTGTTTCGTTTCAGCTTGCACCTCACAACATTTTGTCTTCAGTATAAACCTACGTGTATAGCATGCGTTTGTATTCACCTTGCTTGCAAATGGTCCAGTTGGGAGGTAGGGCATATATTTTTAATCGTTACTAGATCCTTTTTAATGTATTCACGCTCACATTGTCGCTTGTTTGGTTTATAGTAAAATTATGATTACTCTTGATTTGAAACTTGTAAACTTAATGTTTCCTGAAAAGAGTTACCTTGGCTCTTTGTCACTCCCTGGTTATAAGCTTTTAGAAGGTAATTTCATGTAATTTTTCTCCTCAGATTCCTTTGTCTAGTGATGGCAAGCACTGGTGGGAATATGTTGATTCTGCTGTGAACAAGACATTGCTAAACGGTAATGTTTCATGTGTTCGTTCACTCATTCCTGTCCAAAGTACTAGTTTAGAGAGCTACGAAATTTGCAATAGCAATTGCCATAGTTGCTGCAGTGTGCCTTTATATGTTTTCATTCCACTTGTCAATTATAAATTGTGAAAATTCCTATTCCTATTTCTGCTAATGATTTCTTTATTTCATTTCAATATTGCAGAGCTGACATCGGAGTTTGTACAAATAATGGACCGTTGCCCAAGCAGACTTAAAAGAAAAATACACATCACTAACATAAAGGTAAACTTGTAGATTTTTCCACCATGTAGTATTTTTGCGATAAGTGTGTAATCAAGTAAAGGTGTGATGATTTGTGATAAACATGGCACAAAGTTTTTACTTCACTTTTAAAACCATGATGTTCTTGCAATGATTTGGAATCCCTGGTACAAATATATACTGGAAATTGTGGACCCTTGAAAAATTCATAGCACGATAATTCAAGGAAGTATCAAGGGAATACTGAATTGATCTTTAATTAAATCAGTCTGCAAAGATCTCAATGCTAATGTGTTAAGTAAAAAGGTGCTTTGTTTTAATTTCAGGGAGGTCAGAGGAAACTGAAAGGTGGTGAACCTTCTTCAGATGAAAGCTCTCCCGGTATGCCGTCTTCAGGTCCAAAAATTCAACCTTCAACATCTAAACAAAATACAGAGTTGACCAATCACGACAGACAAGGAAAAATTGAAGTTGATTTCAAACCAAAACCTGAATCACAGATGACGTATAAAGATTACAAAGCAATGAAAGAGATGACACTTGCATTAGGGAAAGTCAAGAACGAGTCTAACACTGCCAATGCGGAACGCAAAGAACATAGACACAAACAATCTGAACATTCTCATAGAATGCATGTAGAAAAGAAGTCTGCTTCAGAGGTTAGGCAACACAACAGGGATTTGAAACATACCGAGCAGAGACCTGTAAAAATCCCGGAGCCTCACAAGTCTGGTGGTGACCAACGTTTACATATCTACCATAAACCACCTGTTGAGCACCATACGCATATTAGTGGTGAACAACACAGGCTGCAAAGCTCAGATCACTCACACCACAAGCCTTCCAGCACTGAACAGCATCGACCATCAAGTTCACAGAGCAAGCCTCCAAGTGATCACCATCGTAGTAGTAGCAGTGAACGCCGATCTCATGCTGAATACCACAAGCTACACGGCTCAGATCGTAAATCTGTACCACCAGAAGCCATGAGAGAAAAACATCACTCCAGTGAGCATCGTAGCCACCACAAACAGTACACTGCAGAAGCAACACCCAACGGAACCAAACTCAAGATTAAAGTACCACCACCTCAAGGAAAGAGTGAGAAACATCCAACTAGTGTTGATGCACAGCATCATGCTGCTTTGAAGGAGAGGGAACGACACAAACATCATCACCATCATCACCAGAAACATCACAGCTCTTCAGAGAAACACGCTGCTGCTCAGTCACTCAAACATGTTGAAAAACATAGGCCAAGTAGTTCATCAGGAAAGCGTCCACATAGTCCTGATGGCAAGTTGAGAGGATCTCATTCGTTTCCCACAAGCGACCTGTGGATCGCACTGCATCGCCAGCGAAAAAGATGACATACTCAACAGTTAGTCATGAGAAAGTGCCTGATAATTTATCAAAAAATGTAGGTAGCCTTTCACTCCCAAGTAATCAGTCCTTGCTTAGTTTACCAATGCCCCCAGACTCAGACATCATTCAACAGGCCCTCATGATAGCTGATACTTTCACTGGTGGTGACTCTACAAGGAATGAGGTATCTGATTACAATTCCTTCTTCAATCAACTTCAAGACCAAAACATGTATAAACACCCACAGCATTCTTCATACTATTCTCAACTACCACCCCCACCTCCACCGCCACTCGATAACCGTGCTCCCCCTCTTCCTTTCATGAACATGACCAGCCAACCACCTCTACCTCCAGGGCCACCACCACCACCACCCCTCCCAGACAATGCTCCGCCACCTCTTCCACCACCACCCCCAGAATAAACCCAATGAACAGTATTACAATGTGCAGTTGGTAGCTTACTTTTTGCAAATAGAAAAACAAATACAGAATATTTTTCGACAAGAGACTCTGAAATAGGTAGCTCAACAAGCACATTCTTGCGAGACATTTACTTAAAAAAAAAAATAAGCGAGGATTTTTTTCCCTCAAACGTGTAATTTGACTTAGTCGCCTTTATTCTGACCTTTGTATTAAAGGAATTTTGGTTGTCATTTTGTTTATAATACAGGCTCTTCATTATCAGTGGGTCCCTGTGCAGGGTAGATTTTCAAAGAAATATATATTTACTAAAGGTATTGTATTGTCAGTGTCCTGCGTATGTGGAACCTTAATTTCATAATGCTCTCAATATTTTCTATGAAATGGATAATTGTTAGGTAACACTATTGATGTGCATTTCTAAACGCTATGTTTGTAAAATAAGCGTTTTCTTTAAAGCTCAATTTTCTTGGCATTTTCTTTTTATTTAATTACTGAAATTGATGCCTACTTTTCACTCAATTTGAAGTGAATGCAAACAGGCATTTGATGATGAAAAAAAATAGCCATATATTTGCCAATGATTCGTCCTAGGTGTGCTTTCACCACAGTATGTTGTCGGTTTAGGTCATGGATAAAAATGAAGCATAGAACGTTGTCAAAAATTTGTTCTAGCTGAATTCTTCATGTACAACACCTGATGGCTTTTTCACTCTCAGTAGGCAAGATGTATTTGTATTGTATGCAATGTTTTGAAAATGATGTATAGAACAAGTGTTTAAACTGAGTATCGTAATTTTATATTATTTTATAGCAAACATTGCTCAACAGCTGGTAATGATTATTCTACATAGTAAGCAAGAGCTATTCCATTCTTCCAATAATCTTTTTTTTTTTCCTGTAAAATATGACTTCTGATAGAGTAGTCTAATAATATACCATATATATATATACAAATTTACTGTAGTTATTGGGTATTTTAAAGTACCAGGGTCTTTATTATGACTGGTCGTGTACAGCACTTCATAAAAGAAAACTAGTCTCTTTTGCCAGTCTTAGTATGTATGATTCTTGTATGGCAAAGATGTGCACTAATTTCTGCTGGCAAGTCCACTATTTCTGAAGTGTTGAAAATAGGAATATTTAGGTGCCATTATAAGTGAAAATGTTATGACTCGGTTCTACATGTACAGATAGGCAGACCAGTATTTTTTTTTGTTTACAGGAAATAACAATCTGAAGTTTCATTGATATAATCTTATTTACTGTTCTGATTACCTCTTGTATTGTTTCTCTCAAGTATTTGTCTCCATGTTTTAGATGGGGAATAATTGTTTTTCAGATGTTTGTGATCTGTATAAAAAAAAATTTTTAGGCTAGAGGTTTTGTCAAAACTTGTAATAAGGATATAATTGTGATTTTTCATGTTTGACTTAATCAAAGATTATTGAAGTGATTTTGCCATGCAGTGGTGACTGGCTTGCACGTGCAAACAACTAAATGGAGGTGCTTTCATCCCTCTTTTATTTTAATTTTTTTTTATATATAATCTGTCATATGTGAGGCATTTAACCTCTATAAAGAGCTTGTGTTGAGAGAACTAATGTTAATTTTTGGAAACACTTGCCTTGATGAACTGTATTATTCAGCGATACCTTGAGGCTTTGTCGCAGATATTTAATGGGACATGTCCACCATCTTGTCTGCCTGTACCATTGTATGATGGGAGAGATTGGGTTGTGTGGACGGAAATAGATACAGGGGTTACATTTGTTGTCGCACATTCCTGTCATGCAATGGTACAACTGATTGTTAAAATTATATGTTCATCATTCTTTGACTACATTATCTCAGGCATAGGGGACAGTGTTGATGAAGGAGTAGTAGTCTGTGGTTTAAGATTCCCAAATATCAGGGAAATGGAGTTGGAACAGCTCTTGTGCACACAGGACTTTACTATTTGTACTGTAAGAAGAAAACCTAATATTTTGTAAGACTATTGCTTTAAAGAAAAAAAAAAAAAAAAACTACAAAAAAATACAAAAAAAACACCAAAGAAATTGAACACCAAAAAAAGAAGAAAAATAATGCATAAAAAAAGTAGTGAGGTATTTTCCATATGCGTCACCATTTCATTTACTTTTTAAGTTATATTTCCCAAATTCTGTATGAAGTTAACAAGATACAGCTGAAAACAGGACTTGGGACAAATAAAGTTATATAATTTATGAAAATCAAATGTTGGCATTTTTCTCTGAATGTATGTGTGGTTTGCAGGATGTATAGATGTGTTGTGCTCAGTTTCAATCTCTAAATTATTCTGCAGTATGTAGGACATTAGCCTGACATTAAGGTGTCACCCCCCCTGCCCCGCTGACCGACAGCATCAGACCCCACTGATAGGAGTGTGCGTGTGTGAATTTTTTGCAATATTCATTTTGGTGGTCATGGTGACAGTCAATCATGAAATTAAAGTACTTGATAAGTAAATGCCACTCGAGAGCGTGTTTAACGATGTCATATGGACAACGGTAGACGAACCAAGAAATCAGCGTGTGATTTTATCCAGTACATCTGCTTTGTCGCCAGACAGACTGTTTTCAACAAGATGATAAACACAGGTGGAAAATTGTCGCCCCTTATCACATGTCAACAAATAAACTCTGCCGTGAATGGTTACTCTCTGATGGATGTCACTATCCAATGTTCTTGCAATTTGATTGGTAACAACAAAAAATTGTCGAGAGAAGTGAAAAACTACATTATTCTGTCGGGCATGTGTTAGGTTTGGAGCAATTCGAGTGACCTTGTCAGGCTAGTAAAACATATCTACATTGTCTTTGCACAAGAGATGCATAGTCATGACTTGTTCTGGTTGTACCCGCAATCTTATTATATCCTGGTCTCGGCACCAATTATGAGGAGATAGCTACAATCTATTTTAGGAATGTCTACGGTCAACTTTGGCAAATCACTCGATCATGTGAATAGTTGACAATTCGATAGCTTTATTCCGAACACCAAGAGATAAGATGGTGGCATGAGAAAAAGTGACAGATTGTAACAATAATAAATTTGAGCGGTAAACCGTGCTATTGGCTGAATGCTATACATTGTATTGAAATATAACAATGACGTATCATATTTCTACATAAACTAAAACATGTACGTGTTCCAACTGTTAGGGAGTTAGCCTTATGTAAGATATTGCGCCCTTGGCATCCATACTGATAACCCGCTTGTTTATACACTTGATATATAGAAGATAATATTTGGTAATTGTTCTGGGGTCAAACTGCGTCTATTATACCCATACTAGTGTCAACCATGCTCAAATAATCATTCCTCCAGTGCATCGGTTTAGTTCAGATTTATTTAAAACATGGTGAATTCTATAACATAAAAGCAATACAGACGCTGTGAAAGTAACTGTGAAACTATTTGTAACCATGAGGTAACGATCTCACTTCATGAATGACTTTAGA